TAATTGCTGGGTAGAAGAGGCTCAGAGAAAGTGGCATTTGAAGAAATGTTTCAAGAAAGACGGAGTAGTCAACAGTGTCATATGCCATTTCATAAGTCCAGTGGGACAGAGACTGAAAGATGTACATTAGATTTGGCAGCAGAGAAGTCTTGGGATGTCTTAGAACTATTTTGGTGTTGTGGTGGGGTGAAGCCAGGTTGGCAGTCATTGAGGAATGTGCTATAGTTCAGCAAATTTGGCTGGGCATTTTTTGATGGTAGTGGTGGTTGTGTGGGGGGGAGTCAATGTGCAGTAAAAAGCTAACCTTGGTTAGAAGAGCAAGATGGCAGAGGAGTAGGAGACCTAAGTTTCGTCTGGTCCCAGAAATTCAGCTAGATCGTTATCAAACCATCTGAACACCTACAATCTCAACAGGAGATCGAAGAAGAGAATAGCAGCAATTCTATGAACAGAAAAGCAATCACTTTCTGGAAGATAATACATTATATGTTGCAGTAAAATTTAACTGTGGTTAAAGGAGAAAGAATGATGGAGTTGAGGTGGAAATTTGAATACACAGGGGAGAGAAGAGATTACCTATACTTCAAAAACTCTTTTTTTCTCTACTCTCTGCAAAGAAATAATGGCTGTGGAGACCAGAGTTCCTTTTCATTCTTGTATTTTCTTTCTTTCTTTTTTTTTTTTTAGTTTTTTTTTCTTTTTATCAAGACACACAGAGAGAGTGAGCGCGGGAGAGAGCATGGGGGGCGGGGAGGGGCAGATTCAGGGCTCCCCACTGAGCAGGGAGCCAGATGCAGGGCTCCATCCCAGGACCCTGGAATCATGACCTGAGCCGAAGGCAGACCGACTGAGCCACCCAGGTGCCTCCTCATTCTTGTGTTTTGTATATCCTCAGAAAAATGTTCAACTCCTCACGCTTTCTCTCTGTAAGTTTCTCTTTTCATTCTGTTTCCATAGCTTCACCCACTTGCTCTTTATCCCTGGCCCCTCTCCTAAGTTCCAGTCATGAATTTTTTAACAGCCTGATAGAACTCTTTAATTGTCTCATGACTCCTCAAATTCAGCATGTCTGACTGAATTAATCCTTTCCTTTTCAGGCTGCCATAATTTACTAGTATCTCCCTTTCTTTCACTTAGAAATGGCCCCAGTTACTGAGGGCCTAACTCTGGATCTCCCATTGTTTCCTCCGTCTCTTCCTCACTTCCCCATTCTGATCCTACCCCCATCCTCAGTACCTGCTTGGTAGACTCAGATCACTGTGCTGCTTTTGGAACGATTTTCCCCCCAAATAAGTCTGAATTAATTTGGCTCATTTGGTCTACCTCATTTAATATGGTATTATCCATAAAATTCGTTCATGTTGTTATTTTTCACCTTTTATCCATTATGTGAAAAACAGGAGAAAACACAAACCGATCATTTCTTTGAAACTGTTAGGTAGGTTGAAGATATTATTTATGCAGCTTTGTATCAGCATAATTTTAGTTCATAATTGTAAATGTGAAATTTTCTGATTATAAGGTTTTTAAACAGTTTTTTGTATGTAAACGGAATACCACAGTTTCCTTATTTATCCTGAATTAATATATTTAAAGGAACACAGTATATGTATTCTACTTTGTTTTCCTGTTCCTGCAGGAAATTAATACAATTTAACCCAATTTTGTTATATTTAAATCTATTGGTTCAACTATAAGTTAGAAATGCTTGATTATAATTTTTGAATTGTACTTTAGAGGTTAATAACATAGTTTTTTAAATAGAGCTGTTGAAACATGGAGAGGAAGATAAATTTTCATTTTATGTGGACTCATGTCTGTTTTGAAATACTGCTTTCATACATGCTGGAAAATCTTCATCTGCATTTTTTGAATACAGTTGTTTGTAGTATAGTGGAAACTTACATAATTATCTCTAGATCTTCAACTTTGTGGTGGAATTCTGATAAGCACCCACAGTAAAAATTTTAAGATGCCTGCATGCTTTTGCAGTGTTAAAAAAGACACCCACCTTGATACTTAACCTTAGAAAAGATAGCCTATGACGTATACGCATCTTTAATAGAAATGGGAAGGAAGAGGTCTTTTTGTGCATATTATAGACATTATGTTTTCTTGTAATATTTAGAAGATTATATAATATTTTAAGCTTTTTTTTTTTTAAGATTTATTTGAGAGAGAGCAAGCATGAGCAGGAGAGGGGCAGAAGGAGAGAGAGAAGCAAACTCCCCACTGAGCAGGGAGCCCAATGCAGGGCTCCATCCCAGTACCCTGGAATCATGACCTGAGCCCAAGGCAGACACTTAATCGACTGAGCCACCCAGGCACCCCAAGATTATATAATATTTTAAAGTCTCCACTTACAAATTAAATGCAGAACACTACATATCCTAGAGTGAAAATCAAGGAACTTCTCTCTACCTTAAAGTTAATTGAGTTAACAGACAAAAATTTTTATTCTGGCTTTATTTTAATAATTGAACTAGAGTCATCATGCCTATCAAGAGTCTTTTTTTTTCACTTGGGATCATCATTGATGTTCTACCATTTAGAGCACCTCCAACAGTGGAAGGAAAGCCAAAGTGGGATGCTCTGTGCTTGAACCACACAGGCCCTTGGTCACATTATTTTCCCCTACATATACATATTTCTAACAATACGGTTACTGATTTCCGTGTTTATACCAGGTGCTAAGTGAGGAAGAGGGATAACAATAGGCAGATAAATTGACTGAAATGAGGAGTCACACTCAGCAGTCTTCTACAAAAGAAGAAGAAAAAAATCACCAGAAGTAGTCATTTCAAAAATGAGACCCAGCAATTCCACTCCTAGGGCTATTTCTATGATAAATGAAAACTTAGGTCCACACAAAAACTTGTGCAACAGTGTTCATAGGAGCATATTTCATTGTAGCCAGAATGTGGAATAGGTTCACATGTTTATCAGTTGATGCATAAACAAATGTGGTGTATCCATACAATGTGTTGTTATTTGGCAATAAAAAGGAGTGAAGTACTGAAACACGTTGTAACATGGATGAATCTTGAAAATGTTAGGCTAGGTGAAAGAGGCCACATACAAAGTCCACATATTATATGAGTCCATTCCATGTATATGACATGTCAGAATAGCAAATCCATGGAGACAGAAAGTTGATAAGTGATTGCCAGGAGCTGGGGAAATGGGAGTGACTCCTGATGGACTTGGAGTTTCTTTGTGAGATGGTGAAAATGTTCTAAAATTGGTTGTGGTGATAATTGTACAGCTTGATGAATATACTAAAAATCATTGACTTGTGTACCTTAATTGGGTGAGTTGTGTGATTATATGAATTATATCTCAATAAATCTGTTAAAGTATAGCAGGTTGGGATCATTGGGAGAAAGTATAGCAGATAATTTTTGTGAATGGGAGTTCTCTATACTATAAGCTTGGGTATTCCTCTTATAGTACAGAAATCATTGATACAGTAGAAGGTAATTGGGAAACTATGTGTTATAAAGGAAATTATAGTAATTTGTGTCCCTTACTATCTGTTTTTAAAAATCCAACTATCAGGAGTGGTTAGCATTAACATTCATCTTTAAGCTCTTACTGATTTTAGAATGACTTGTTTTCCAAGTGTTTCATATAGTTGAAGTTGTTGCCATGTCTTTCGATGCAAACATGAGGATTAGTTGAAAATTTGATTGTTGTTTTCTTGTCATTAAAAAGTCTAGGTAAAATAATTTTCAAAAGATATGCTAAAAGAAATTATTGCATCTAACTTAAAGCGTTTCTTTTATGGCTTAAAAATCTTAAGATTTAGCAGTCGTTTAGTATATTTAGTATAAATGTGAAATCTAAGAGCTGATAACAGGTTGATACATATAGCATTAATACATAAATAGAATTAAATACTTTTACTTGGCTAACAGATACTGGTCAAGGGAAAAAGGGAAGTTTGGATTATGATACAGATTTTTTTCTCCAGTAACACAGAATTTGATATAGCTCATTTCTAATAAAAAAAAATTTACATTAGGAATTCACTGGAGGGTATGAACTACTGGAAATGGTCTTTAAAAAGTATGGTATGAAATCTTGATGGTAGTTTTCAGGATTAAAAAATAACTGATTTACTTGGCTTTTCTCCATTTAAAGAATGATTTTGGAAACACAGCTGTATTTTGTTCCCTGCTCTTGACATACGGATAAGGAAGAACTATGGGGATAGTGTCAGGGACATGATTCTAGATCTAAAACATTTTCTCTGCCCCAGCACCTCCCTTCACCCCTCATGACCTGTTTAACACACTGTTACTGGTTTGGAAATTTGTCATATATCTTGAGTGTATTGGGACTGAACAAGAGAACCAGGTGGGGAGAGAGAGAGAGAGGGAGAATGTAGAGAACAAAAAACTAAAAATACAGTGAGACATGGAGCGTTAAAACCAGTTCATGTCTGAATCTAAGAAAAATTATGAAAAGAAAAATGAAGAGCACATGCAGATATAAAGTGAGTAAAGGCAAGAGTTAGGAATGAATCTTGGGATCCATGGGAATCCTGCTGTAGTGGACTACAGAGGGAAAGCTGTGTTAATTGGTGATGGAGTTTTAAATTGTTAATGTTGAAATTTCATTTGTGGGAAGGATGCCAACCAGATATTATAAAGTTGTGGCTGAAGAGACAGGTCTGAACTGACTTTTAGCTAAGCCTATATGTATTTATTTGTTCTCCATATGCCACCAAAGTGTAGTTAAAATTTGAAATTATTAAAATGGGTTTGCTGTCCTGATAAGATTTAAATTTTTTCAACACCTTATAATTAAGGTTTTCTTCCACTTTATTACTTTACTTTTTTTTTTTTTTTTTTAAGGTAAAGTATACAGACATCCTTGATTCTTGGAAATCTGTATCCTCCTAAACATGATTAAATATATTTAGAGATATTTGTCTTTATCAGGTGATTTTAAACTTTAAATAATTAAGCATAATTCACATTTCCTTTTCTAACCAGGAACCTTTTGAGGATGGATTTGCCAACGGGGAAGAAAGTACTCCAACCAGAGATGCTGTGGTCACATACACTGCGGAAAGTAAAGGAGTTGTGAAGTTTGGCTGGATCAAGGGTGTATTAGTATGTACCTATAGATTGAATTTTAGACTTACAGCATTTATGTTTATTATAAAATCTTTCTAATGTTCTCATCATTTCTTAAGAGAGCTCTTCTTTCTCTTTTTATGTGAGTGTTATGGAAGACCAAATTAATAACTTGTACCTCCTTTTCTTGTGGATATTAAATTCAGTAAAGGAAACAGGATGTATGTATTAACAGAATCATATTATACTTGATTTCCTCTAAATTATATTTTATTACCTCTTGTAAATCTCACATATTGTCATTTTTCAGAAATTAAATATGAAACTATTAAATTGATGGGAGCATCAGAATCAAGAAAGCTGAGCAGGCAGTAAGGCTGATCTATTTCTGCCTCCTTTCCTGCTATCCCATTATTTTTTGAAGAGAAATGTATGAAAGTTAACATGGAACAGAATGAAGGAGAAATTGTTTTCTTAAGTGTTGAGGTCACTTCACAAATAGGTTCAGGTGATTAAGTTTCAGATGTACTTCTGTTTTTCTGTGTTGGATTAGGCACTAACTGACTGGAGGAGACTGGGAGACTAAATGACTTCCATTGGGACTTTGGGAGCACTTAATTAGAGTCATGTTGACATTTAGGGGAGAAGTAGGGGGAAAATCGCAGTTCCAGTAGTAATTTCATTGCTTAATCAATAGGGTACATGTGAAGCTCCAGATAGTATTGTTTTTCCGATTCTATTTTAGTATTTTAGACGACTGTGTTCTATGTATAATGATAAAATGCAATAGAAGAAATAAATTGGGGAAACTCATAGTTCAGAGGCTTTTTGTTGTTGTTTTTGTTTTATTTTGTTTTTTTTTTTATGTTACGTTAGCCACCATACAGTGTATCATTTGTTCACAGCTTTAAAGGGTGTGTGAAAGGCATCTGGGTGGCTCAGTAGGTTGGGCGTCTGCCTTCGGCTCGGGTTGTGATCCTAGAGTGCCTGGCTGGCTCAGTCAAAGGAATATGCAACTCTTGATCTCGGGGTTGTGAGTCTGAGCCTCACATTGGGTATAGGGATTACTTAAATAAGTAAATAAACTTTTTAAAAAAAAAAAGATGTGTGAACAATTAGCATTTTGTTTTGACATACTTTGTAATACTTAAATCTTCTGAAGAAATCATGAAATAAGGATGTTATTAAAGAATAAGCAAAAATTAAACTTAGTTGCATTGATAAATAGGAATAGGAACTATTTTTTTAGGGTTGAAGTGGTAAAAGATTTCTTTTACCTTGTTTAGTACCTTTTGCTGTTTTGTTTTAGATCATTGTGGTGTTCTGTTACACTTAAATTAGTTCACATTTTAGCTCTCATTAAGTTCTTTTAAAAAAGTATTACAAAGAGAAGGATAAGAGATTTTAAATGTCTTTCTTTAGTTTTAAATGGATATTGTCCTCCTTTTGACTAGTTTTGTGTTTACTAATGTATTAAGTTTGATCACTTGCCTTCATCTGGAACTTGTCCTCTTTTCTTTCCTAGGTACGTTGTATGTTAAACATCTGGGGTGTTATGCTCTTCATTAGATTGTCATGGATTGTGGGTCAAGCTGGAATAGGTAAGCAAAGTTATATACTGCTTGATTCATTTGAGAATGAAAAAGTGAAGTAGTCTTGTGCTCGTCTAGGCTGTGAACCTCATAGCATTCAAACAATTGGAATTATTCTAAGCTATTTTCTCGTTTGTATCAGATTATTGTCTTAATGTCTTAAAAATTTTTTTCAAAATTTTGGTTAGATTTTTCTAAAATGGGATAAAAATAAGGTAATTGTTAAATATAATGTAAATTTTGTAGACTAACCAGTTCTAGATAAGGCAGGTTGAAATAAATATGTCTCTTTTCTTTTTCCCTGAAGGTCTGTCGGTTGTTGTAATTATGATGGCCACTGTTGTGACAACTATCACAGGATTGTCTACTTCAGCAATAGCTACTAATGGATTTGTACGTGGAGGTAAATTCAGTCTTTTCACATCATTGTCACCAGATTACTGTTACTAAGTAAACTGAGGTCTAAATTTTTAAATTATTTTTATCTTAAAAACAACATAGGTCTGTATAGGTGAGAAACTTACTACTAAGTACTTTCAAACTAGCATATTCGAATATAAAATTTAATTTTGGCCCATACATAAATATGTATGCTTGAGATTACTTAGGACGTTCATTGTATTTGGTAGCAAGAATGGAGCTTCTGACCTGGTTTCTTCTCCACTGGGTTGTCCCTTACTTCCTTCCTGGTTTTAGCCCTTGGATCAATAGCATGCATCCTGTATTTGGTCAGTATTATATAGGTGTAGCCTCATTCCTCCCCCTTTAGGGAAACTTAGGGAGAGTTCTTTTCCCATGATCTGACAGCTTGTGTGAGTTACACCTGGGACTCTGAATCCATACTATCAACTCTAGCTCTCTTCTTTGGGTGCCCTGAGGCCTCTTTCATTGGAATCCACAAGATCTGCCTTGTGAGATTTTACCTTCCCAGGGAGAGCACCCAGGAGATCAGGAGAATCGCCTGGGGACCCCTGTGAACAAGAAGAAAAGAATTGCATTTTCCAGATCAAAACTCATCATTTAGCTGAAGTGAGGACATCCCTAGAGAAAGGAAAGAACATAGACTTTACCAGCTTCTATACAGTGGTCATAGCAATCAACTGAGAAGAGAATCTACTTGTAACATCTGCCTCACCTGTTCTGCAGACCCGCATTTGACATTATACATAGACAATTTCTGCCTTGTCTGCACCAGGTATTTAGAGCGAGAACTAGATTGAGCCTTTCATTTTTCTTCATTGTCTTCATATTACATACCAGAAGATCAAGATCACTATGGCCTGCGGGAAGCTGGTAGCCATATGTCCATGCTGAGCATGCGTGACTGTTGGCTGAAGTTGTACATGTACATGAGTCTAGATTGAGCCATATTGGGGTGTAAGATGTGGATATGTCCAAAAGAGTTAATCAGACAACGCTGAGAGATTCTTTTTGACTTCTTATGTACTGTGCCCCATGTTTCACTTATTTCTGCTACTGTTGGGGAATGGTAGTGAAAGAAGAAATGGATGTGGTGGACCAGCAAATTATCAAAGTATTTCTCCTTCTCTTCAGGCTTTCCAATTAAGGTTGTAAAAGCCTCAATGGGGCATGAAGGCATTGGCAGCATGAACCCCAGAGATTATTCTCCCTGTGAACTCAAGCTTAGGGGAAGCATAGATTTTCCTGCATTGGGACTAAAAAGCCATTTCATCTTTCAATACTATCAGTAGCTTTCGTATGTATTCATAAATACATCTACCTCAGACTCTGACCACATACTTTGAAACTTTGCTAGAAGGCGTTCATTTTTCACCTGTCAGTTGGTGACTTTGGAAACCTGGCTGATCCTTTACAGAATACAGGCAAGTTGTATCATCATCAGTGAAAGTTTTTTGGAGATTTTTTTCAATGACTGTAAGCCCCTTCTGTCACCGCTTAATCTGCTTCATGGACTTGGACAGCCCTAATGGGATTTATTTTGGTTTCATGAAAAAACAGGATTTTCCCCATATGAGAAAGTAGATACAGGTCTAAATCTGGCAAGAATATATCGCACCCTGTAGTCATGATTCTAAATGGAAAGTATTAGTGTGACTTACACATTTTATCCCAAAAGTGCATGTTGCTTAGTACTGTATGCAAAAATTACGTATAACAAATGACCAACCCAGTAGCAGTGAACCACCTCCTAGTGCCCACGTGGTATATTTTCAGTCAGAGGAACCAGAGGACCTTGGAGAAATGATTGGTTCCAGATCTGGGCAGGAAGCGTACTTTAAGAGCCTAGACATTTTTTCACATTGGAAAGTAAAGAAGGTGTAACAGAGGCTACTAGTTTCAGGTCAAAAGGACCCAGGAGCCAATTTGAAGAGGCTGATGCTGACTTGAGTTTGCTTAGTTTGAACAGCAGTACTACTACTACTAATAACTAATTTAAATGAAGACATAATGTATGATTAAATCCTTAAGTTCACAGACACCACAAAAAGATCTTATTTTTTACCTTTGAAGAATGCTAGGGAACTAACTTATTATGAAGATTGATAAATGTGAAGAATCTCATCAACATGAGATTCATCAAGTTTTCCTGAATGAAAGTTTCCTTACCTAAAGTCAGTCTAATCAAGAAATTGATGAGATTTGTTCTTTGATAATTGTTCTACGTATCAAGAGAAGGAAAGAGAATTAAAATATTCCAACTTTGTAAGCTCTTTACTCAGTAAAAGTATCTGTGAAGTATTGTTTCCTGAGAAATTGAATCTGAATTATACCATGCCTGTAGATCCAGAAAGCATTTTATAGAATATACAGAGGAGAGAGGAACTTATTAAATGGCACTATCGCATGATAGCAGATTCCAGAGTAGGAATCTCTCTGGAACAAGGAATCTTTAAGTTGTCTCTACACCCAACATGAGGCTTAAACCCACAACCATGACATCCAGAGTTGCATGCTTCACTGACCAAGCTAGCCAGGCACCCCAGGAATCTTCCTTGTTTGACATAATTTTCCAAGGAGAAAGAAAGTGTGGGAGTTACGGTTTAAAGCAAACTGTAAGAGACTCATTTTATAGGTGTGAGTTTGTTTGCCATTTCTAACAGTAAACTGCTTTGTCTTTAAGTGGGGGGGGGGGGGCAAGAGTGCCAGGTTTGGATCTCCTCTAGGCCAATCACTGAGGACTTGATTTTTACTTCTCTTAAAATGGGTACACAGGGAAGAGAGGAATAGAGCTATAAATACCCACAAGTCAGGGTGCCAAAGGCTTAGATTGGAGAAATAGAGGGATACCATGGAAATAGTGATGTCTAGAGATCCATCTCAATTTTCTGTGACTGGAGGTTGATTATTAAGGGAATTAATAAGGAAATATTTTACCTAAAGGTTGTGGTTGCTCTGTATAGTAATTTCAATTTGGAGAGCTCCTTTTGAACTTGCCTAGTTATCTTGTTAATATAAAGAATTATTTTGAGGTAGAGTCCAACAGTTTATGTTGATTCTTAACTCAATCATAACATGTATATTTTATTAATATTGAATAATATTTTATTCTCAGTTTATAGGGTATGTTTCTCTTTGACAGTATGTGAGATACATACTTTTCCTAGCGCTATGTGCTTTTTGCCATTAGAGAAATTTAATTTTACCAAGTTACCTTAACATTGGCTTTAACAGTACATTTTAGAGATTAAACAGCAATCTAGAGAAGTGTAGTTGTTTTTTTTTTAATATTAAGTAACTGCCAATTTGTAAACAAATATAATAATGTTCAATTATGAAGTCCAGGATAAAAATAATATGACAACATTCAAGGTTTCTTAAAAAAAAAAAAAAAAAAAAAACTAGTCAAAACTTAGAAAATAAAAGCATAGTTTCAGGCTTCATTAGTTTTTAGTTAGGATTTTTGGGTACTGAAACTACTAGGAGGTTACAGAATCATGTCCTCCGTTCTCTGCCTGCACAGAATAAGATAGCAGTGCCAAGTAAGTTTGGCAGGTACTCCTCACCTTCATCTCTGCATAGTGCCTGGCCTAACAGACAAATACAGTCTACAGATGATTGTGGCCTGCTGGGAGCCCAGAGCTCTTTACCATTGTGCAAATCCTTATCGGTGTTACTGAAAGCTGGATTTTACTGAATTTACTTGGGCTACGTGCAGCAGGTTCTCCAAGAGGGTGCTGGCCAGCAGTCACTTTCATTTAGATCTGCATTTTCTAGGTGTCTCAGACCGGAGTTCTTCCATCCTCAAATAATTAATCTGTGAATATGGTCTCATTTGTGAAATAGTAAATACTAGTTTTTAAATCGTGTTGTATTATATGTGCTGAGCCTTAAGATGAAAGCAGAGTTCAGGATACTTTCAAATAAAAGGCCAGGTTACATCAAATTCAGACAGGTAGTTCTGAAAACGTAAAATTAATATAAACCTGTCTATTTCATGACTAAGATGAAATTTTATATTACTTGTACATCAGTCATTCAACAGATAATTGTTGAGCTCTTTGTGACAGGCACTGGGTTTGTAACAATGAAAGTCAGAGAATATCCTATTTTCTTGGAGCTGTAATCAGATAATAGTGGCAATTATTTTTTGAAACCTAACTTAGGCTAGGCATGATACATGAAAAGTAACTGCTAGGCATGCTAATGTAGTCTTGACATACATTATCCATCGGATTTAATGCAACATTGTTGTTAGTCACATGTATACTTTGTATGGATGAAGAGGGTAGAAATGAAACAATTATACTCATTTTTTCAACAAATTTAAATTTCATCCAGATTTTACTGGCAAATTTTTTTTAAGTGTCTGCATTATGTCAGAATTGTTTTTATACTCCGCTATCTTTTTCATTTCTCTGAAATAATTGAAGACCTCTTCATTCTCTATATAGGTAAAATTAAACATTGGAAGTAATAGTAAAATTTTTTGCATGGATTGTAAGTGACAAAGTGCTTTCTATATTGGTAAAATCAGATTAACATCGATTGTCAAATTTTTTGTTTAGTCCATTTTATAACTATTCATTCCTGTCATCACCAAGCAAGGAGTTGTAACTTAGAATTAAGCTCCATAGTTCTTTCCTTTTATTGGTAATTTCTTTCAAATTACAGCTTTCCAGATCAGTGAAATGTTTGAAGAAGCTATAACGAGCAATTCTCTAACAGTTGTATTTTGAGATTTTATTAGACTTAAGCTTAACTTTGTGTTTTCAGTTTAGTAAAACACTATTTATAAACCACAAATAGTATGAATGTGAATCTGGCAAATAGTTGTAAATAATTTTTGACTTGGGTTTTCTCTTTGACTCATTTGGTGGCATTTCAATTTTGCCAGTCTTTAATGATTAAAAATACTTCAACTTGGTTCTGAAATTGTCTGCTGCATAATTAGGGCAGTATGTCCTGACTCTTCAAGTATAACTTATTCAAGTGATCAGTCACAATGATAATATAGCCCCCAGTCCTAGGCTGAAGATTTCATGTTGGTTAGCACATTTTTCTCTACTTAATAATGGTAACAGAGCAGAGGAAATTTGTGCAGTGTTAAGATGCAAACGGACTATTGTATATTGGTAGACCAGGGTATTAGAATGTATTTCCTAGAACGATAACCAAAATGGATATTAGAACCATTTGGATCCCTTAGAACTCTGTTGTATTCTCAAAATGGTTCCTTGGAATTTTACAAAAGATGGCTTTGGATAAACTGTTTAGTGAGTGTACAGAAGTAGGTGGTTTAGTGCTGTGAGAATTCTGGTGTATTTTTTAATCATAATAGACGAGCTCTGAGCAACAATTGTTAAATAGTTTATCATTAATAATTTTACGTTTTTGTTATTTTCACCTTTTGATTTGTTTTTTCCTCAATACACCAACAAAACCTTTTTTTTTTTTTTTTTAAGATTTTATTTATTTGACAGAGAGACACAGTGAGAGAGGGAACACAAGTGGGGGAGAGGGAGAAGCAGGCTTCCCACTGAGCAGGGAGCCTGATGCGGGGCTCGATCCCAGG